AAGTTTTCCCCTGGACAGAGAGATTGGCTTAGAGATGCCACATATGTCTCAACTGGACCAACGAGAGTCAAGGCCAGATACGTGCTGGACCACGGGTGGAAGAAGTTCTTTCCACTGGGGTTGCTGAGCTAGCAGGCCCTGAGCCTGGAGCTGTTGGGGCCATCCTGGTTATCTAGGGAGGAGAGCCTGCCTGGGAGTGAAGCCAGCAAAAGGGAAGCAGATAAGCAAGCCAGAGAGAGACAAGTCACGATGACATGGCGCCTGGATCCAACTGTGCCTGAAGCAATCTACCTTTGGATTTCCCATTTTTCATGAGCCAGTGAATTCCCCATATTGCAAAAGCCAGTCTCCGTTTTGCAAAAACCATAAGTTGGCTTTTTCTCACAGAAAAGCATCTAGGTTGATGTCAAGAGGTTAAGCAACTTGCCCAGGCCTGAAAGTTGGAGAGGTCAGTGTTAGCTAGGGTCACACAGGATCCAGCTCGGCCAGCCGTGCCCCACCTCTCCACCAGGCCAGCATCCTGTAGTGGTGTTCACTGAGTTCCTGCGTCCGCCCTCCCTGGGCAGCCAGTTTTTTCAACTTTGAAAAGTGGTCATGCCAGGCCCGCAGCGCTGCTGGGAATAGAATCCTCAGCTAACTGAGCTGCCTCCCTCGGAGGCTGGAGCCCGAGCCTCTGCTGCCCGTATCTCGGGCTCTGGGCCTCGGCTTCACTCACAGTTACTCCACTGCCAGGGGGTCTTTGGCTGTCCCCATAGGCCACCCAGGCCAGCTGCCCAGAGCCTGTGGGGAGAGCGTGTGAGTCTCAAGGGGGGCCCTTCCCTTCCTGGCTGTGTGCCCCAAGGGTGGGCCCAGGGAGCGGGAGGCCGCTGAGGACCCTGGAGCTCGAAGCCGTGAGGGGCAGAGAGCCCTGGCATCTGTCCCCGAGGACTGGGGCCCTTGGAGCGACCTGCAGGGAGACAGCCCCGCTCAGGTGAGCTTCGCCTCTCCGCTCCGTGCACTTCCTGGGCAGCAGCAGAGACAGAGGACACCCACGCCACGGTGACACAGGGGGACGCCAGGCAGAGAACGTCATCAGGCGCACTGCTAGGAAGGACCGCGGCCAGGGGACGGTCGGTAGGGCCTCTCAGCACAAGTGACCTTTCGCGAGAGTCCCGCCTGGTCCCCCGGGTGCTGGGCTCGGAGCCCTGCTGGTCTCCCCGGAGGTCAGGGCCCGCTCTACCCGATGATGCTCGCTGAGGTGCTGTCAGGGCTCAGCCACCTGCTGGAGGCTCGGTGACCGGCTGCGGGACCTGCAGGAAGGCTGACTGGCCACTGCTCTGTAGTCCTGAGCTAAATCTGGAGGAAAGGCCGAGAAACCACGCAGGACCGTCCCCAGGCACGCCTGCCGGGAAGAGGTTCCACCCGCACGAGGACACGGTGATCTCACCATCGTCACTTGGATTCCAGTCACCGTCATCACATGGCTGGGGGCCCTGGGGCTTAGGCAGTTCGGGTCAGGTCCCCTGGGAACCAGGGGAGCTTTAGACGGAAAGCCCAGCCTCCAAGTCACACAAGACTCGGGCCCCTGCGTCCCTCCTCCCAACCAAATGTCAGCTTCTTGGACAGGACAGAAGTGAGGCGGAGCTGGGGGAACAGGCAGCTAGGAAAGAAGATGCCCATGAGCCAGGTGGGGAGAAGGGGATGCCTGGGGGGGACAACCACACCTATCCAGGGAGTGACACTTGACCTGAGACCTTCAGGGTGAGAAGATCTGCGAGAGTGACCCCTGCAGAAGGACCAGCTGGTGCAAAGGTCCTGGGGTGGAACTGGCCGTGTGTACTGAAGAAGGATGTGAGACAGAGCAAAGCACGCAGGGGAGGGGGGCAAGAGAGGCAGGCAAGTGCCAGGTCAGGTGGCTGCAAGCCTGGGCTAGGAAGGACATTTTACCTTAAGTAGGATGAGCCTTCATTGGGGGATTATGCATGAGGCGGGGCGAGGGGTTGGGGGCTTCATGATCCAATATGTAGAGCTCTGGCTGGCTGCTGCCATGTGAAAAACAGAAATGAGGGCAAATGAGCTGGCACCTGGAATCAGGGATTTCATTCAGGGTTAATAGTTGTAATAAGGTTTCCCCTTCTGCCACTTCAGTGGGTGGGGCACGGGCCCCCAAAAAGTCATTTCCAAGTCCTCACACCCAGTTCCCGTGAATGTGACCATATTCCATATTTGTGAAAAGGATCTTTGCACATATGATTAATTTAAAGATCTGAGATGAGCTTGTCTGGATCACCTGGAATTGCCAAATCACTCTGGATTGGGGTGGGCCTAAAACCCACGACAGGTGTGCTTATAGGAATGAGGCCAGCCGGACGCAGTGGCACAAGCCTGTAATCCCAGCTACTGAGGAGGCTGAGGCCTGAGGATTTCAAGTTTGAGGCCAGCCTCAGCAATTCAGGCCCTATCTCAAAATTTAAAAAGGACTGGAGATGTGGCTCGTGCCAGAGACCTTGCCTAGCACATGAGGCCCTGGATTCCATCCCTAACACCACAAATAAAAAAGAATAAGACAGAGGGAGATTTGACAGGTGGAGAAGCAGAGAAGAAAGCCACGTGAAGACCAGGCAGAGGTGGCAGTTACGTCACCATAAGCCACAGAATGACTGGGGTACCAGAGCTGAAGGGGTCAGGAAGGGATCTCCCTGGAGACTTGGGAGGGAGCATGGTCCTGTCAACACCTTGATTTCAGACTTGGGGGCCTCAAGAGCTGTGGGGGAACAACATTTTTCTAATTTTAAGCCACCAAATTTATGGTAACTTGTTACAGCAGCCCTAGGAAAGTACACAGCCACTGGAGAGCCCAGCCTTGGGCCCCGTTAGACCTGCCTTCACCCACTCTCCCCACAGGAGCCTGGACCTTTGGCCCTTTCAAAGGCCAGGCGGTCACTGGGTGGCACCCCTGCAGGTCTGAGGGCCGCTTGGCTCAGGATGGGCGTTTGACTCCCTAACCTGCACACAAGGATGGGGACCAGACAGCTCCGCTCTCCTTTCCCCAGGGAGCTCTCGGCACTAGGGATGCAGACAGGTTCTTTTTTTTTTTTTTTTTTTTTAAGAGAGAGAGAGAAAGAGAGAGAGACAGAGAATATTTTAATATTTATTTATTTATTTTTAGTTTTCAGTGGATACAACATCTTTATTTTTATGTGGTGCCGAGGATTGAACCCAGCGCCCTGTGCATGCCAGGCGAGCGCTCTACCACTTGAGCCACATCCCCAGCCCCAGGTTGATCTTTTAATTGAATGTGTGTGTGTGTGTGTGTGTGTGTTGCTGGTGATTGAACCCAGGGCCTTGTGCATTCGAGGCAAGCACTCTGCCAGCTGAGATATATCTCCAGTCAAGTTCATCTTTAAATACTTAAATAAGGGCAGAAAAAAAGCACATGGACTGGAGAATTGCTTAAATGGGCTAAGAATTGAATGAGGCAGTCTCTGTGTGTGGCTCCTAAACTTCCACCAGTTCAAGCAACTTTTGTCACATCCCCGCCCCATGGAACACTCAGTTAGTAAAAGATATTGACTGTCATGAGGCTGATCCCTGCCCACCCTCCCTTAGCACCCCTTCCTCATCTCCCCAGTTAAATGGGTGACCACAGACCTTTCTTATGTCTGAACTAATATATATATATATATATATATACACACACACACACACACACACACACACACACAGCCTATCAGTTGCATTTATTTGGCGAGAATTCATGCAGGGCTCATTTGCTATTATCTGAAGGTATATAATGATCAGACTTTTATTGAGCTGCTCACTATTCTAAGAGTGCACGCACTCATTCATTCTGCACAGCACCTCTATAAGGTGGGCACTTTTATTGCCTCCATCTTACAAAGTGGAGAACAGAGGTACAGAGATTTCCAGTAGTTTGCCCAAGGAATTTGGACACCAGGAGCCTGGCTCCAAAGCTAGCTTCCTGGGAAGACCAGCTGAGAAACCAAGTTGCAGTGCTACTCTGGACAAGTGGTTCTGCGGCTCTGGGACTCAGTTTCCTCAACTCTAAGATGGGACTAATATGCCTCTATTGGACAAGGTGGTGCCAGGTACAGTGCCTGCCACAAGCACCCAAGGAGCGAGCTAGAATTCAACCGCTAATACCAAGTAGCTGCCCTGGGCAGGCTTGTGCAGGGAACAGGGAACAGACGACGGAGTTAATAGGGTCGGTGCTCTGGTCCCACGGAGTGCACCATCGCCAGGTAACCGGAAGCCCAGGGAGGATGCTTTAAACTAGAGCCCGCGGGAGGGCAGCCTCACCAGCCCTGCTCACACGGGGCTGCGGACGAGGAACGCCGGTGCCCGGGCCTCCCCGGGTCAGGCTGCCTGCACCCTGTGGCGTGGGCACCGGAGCGGGCACTGCGCGCGACACACTCCCCAGGTCCACTGAGTTCAGTCTGATTCTTCGGGAAATACTGAAAACCATGCAGGACCCCATCCATCCGCTCCGGCAGCGCCAAAGGGAACCAAGTGGGGTCTCCAGCGGCGCGAATCATCAGGAAGTGTGTTACGTTCCACGAAAAAGGGGTGGACATCGGGCTACAGCCGAGACAACGGAGCACGCTGCCCGCCCTCCCACCCCACTGGCAGCACTGAGGCCAGGGCGCCGGCGCTGCAGGAGGGACGCGCGACTATCTCAAGGTCACTCACTACGTGACTCAACCCGCCGGGTCGCGCCTTGAACTCAAGATCCGCCCGCGCCTCGCGAGTCCACGAGCCGAGGGCGGGGCCCGGGGTCGCCTAGGCAACCGGCGCGCGCCACACCCGTGCCGAGCCCGGCGGGGAGGCGGGAGCACGCGCGGCCGGACGTCTCGCGGGGCTGCGGCCGCTTCCCCGGCCCCGCCCCCGGCCCCGCCCCGCGGAAGTCCTCGCCGACATTCCCGAGCGCCGGTTGGTCCCGCGGCCCCGGGGGCGGAGCCCGCGGCCGGCCGTGCGTACTTCCGGCTGCCGGGTTGACATGAAGTAGCAGCGGCGGCTAGGGCGGCGGTAGCTGCGGGAGTGGGGCTGGTAGCGGGCCTCGGGGCTCAGAGCGCGGGGCGGCCTAGAGCGGCGGACGGCGCGGCGGGCCGAGCGGGAGGCGCAGCGGCCGCCCTGGCTGTCATGGAGATGGAGAAGGAGTTCGAGCAGATCGACAAGGCCGGGAGCTGGGCGACCATTTACCAGGTGCGGGAGCGCCCGGAGCGCGGCAGGCCCGGGCTTAGGCCGCGCGGACCTTCCCCTCGGACCCCGGGTGCCCCGGTCACACGTCCGCGCGGCCCTTCGGCTCGGGGATTCGACCGGACGGCGGCCGGGCCACCCCCTCTCTTTGTCCGCCGCGTGGGCCGGCGACTCGCCCGCGCCCCCAGCCCCTCCTGGCCTCCCACCCCGCGGACCCTCGGCCGGTGACCTGGGGCCGCCGCCGGTGCCCCTGACGCGATCCCGCCCCGGCCCCGCCCCCCGCCTGCCCACCCTTTGTCCCCCGGGTGGCTGGACGCCCCCGCAACTTCCTCTTCTGCGCTGGACCACCTCGGACGCCCTTCCTTTGTCTCCTGGGGGAGAGGCTTGCTCCCCTCCCTCCTTCACATTTCCTTTCCCTGGGTCTCGGTGAGCGTCCAGTCCCCGCGAGGACGGTCCCCTGCCCCCTTCCTGTTCATTCATTTGTGGGGTGTGCACTGGCCAGTCTGTGCCCTGCAGGCTCCAGGTTGGACAGGACAGGCGAGACCCTCTCTAGTGCAGCTTGGAGTCCAGCAGGGCAGTGGAACACAGAGCAAATGATTTCTGGTGGTGACAAGTGTTGCGAAGAGAGCAACTTCCCGTCGCGGTGGAGGGTGACCGCCCGGGAGGGTCCCCTGCCTTGAAGGAGGGAGTCAGGGAAGGTCTGTGGCTCAGGTGGAGGAGCAGCAACTGGGAGCATCGGGGCAAGGAACCAGCCACCTGCAGTGCCCACCCCACGGGAGCCAGGCAGGGAGCAGGGAAGGTAAACGTTTTAACCCTCTTAAAGTGGCATCTTTCCACTGGTCAGGGATGGGATGCTCTTGTCTCCTGAGACCTTATCTGCTTGTGGGTTAGGAGGGGTTCATGAATGAAGTTAGGATGGTTTCCCACATACCTGTACCACCACAGATTGAAAACATGAAGAGGTTCTTCTTTCACAAGCAGCTAAATCCTCTAAAGAAAATATGTACTCCCGATTAAATGTCACTGCGGGGGTTGTGAGGATTAACCAAAACCACACTTGCTCAGTATCTTAAATAAGCATGTACAAAATAGATTGTTGCTTGTGTAAAGGGAGAAGGCAGGGTGTTCTGTTTTCAGCTTCTAGGCTCAAAAGGCAACTTGTGAGATCCATCAACTAGTATTAAAGTCTATTTTGAGCTTCACTTAAAAAAAGAGGAAAGCTTTAGGCAGTTCTTTGGTATGCTTGGCTAACAAAAACCTTTTTGCCGGGTAGCCTTGGTTTTTAAATTTATTTGACAGGTTTCTTTTTACTTGGACTGTAATGGATATTAGCTTCTGGTGGACTAACACATACAACCACTATAATCTGCCTAAGTATGATTGATCAATATATAAAATTTGTATTCCATATCTAGTCTCTGAATTAGTTGAATGAATTCCAGCAGTGACTTTGAGAGTATGTGGACACTTTGTCTGTATTGGATTTAATTCAGTAGAGTCCAGAGTGTGTTTCCCTGAAAATTGGTGAGAAGTGTTGGAACTGATACTGACCTACTCCGTCACAGTAAGAGGAAATCTTTTTTGTAGTGAAACTGATTGAATTGGCAACAAATCCATATTATAAATAGGTTATGATTGAATTTGATTTCGTATAGTTTTGGGTCAGAGCGGCATGACCTGACCCCAAGTGCATTGTTAAAACAAAGAACCCTAGTGGCATTGAATGGGGTCTTCAGTTAATTTCCCTCTTTGTTCTTAAATTTCACCACATTTAATCCCATTAATTAGTCAAGATGTTAATATTTCTCCAGCTTCTTACTGGATTGCCACATTCTTGGAGGTGGTTCCTTTGATCTTAAAGAATTGTCACTGTGGGATTTTTCTCACCTCTGCTGTGGAAATGTTTTTCTTTTCTAACATTGAAATCAGAGTTTGGTGCCTGGGTGGTGGCACATGTGCAAGCCTGTAATCCCAGAGACTCTAATCCCAGTGACTCAAGGCGTGCTGAGATAGGAGGATCTCAAGTTCAAGGCTAGTCTCAGCAATTTATTGAGACCTTGTCTTGAAATAAAAAATAGAAAGGGCTGGGGGTGTAGCTCTGTGGTAGAGCACCCTTGGGTTCAATTTCCAGTGCAAAACAACAACAACAACAACAACAACAACAAAAATGAAATTAGAAGCTTTCTTTTTAAATTTAAAAGTGACTCTTTATTTTTATTACTGTGTCATTTCTAAAAATGTAGAATTCGTCATGTCAGTGTACCAAAACCATGAAATTGTTTTTTTAATATTTTTTAATTGTAGATGAACACAATACCTTTATTTATTTATTTATTTTTATGTGGTGCTGGGAATCGAACCCAGTACCTCACACGTGCTAGGCAAGTGCTCCACCACTGAGCCACAACTCCAGTTTCACAAAACCATTAAATTTTAAGAATTCGAAGAAATGTGTTTATGATTGGTAGAAAATGGAAGTTTAAAAACCTAGTATTTCATCGCATGTTATAATGAGGAGAGCCTTATACAAAGTCGTACTTTGAGCTTGTCTAGTCTATTATCAGAAAAATAATATATAATTTTTGCTTAAAACTTTGTAAATAAGGCAGCATGGTAATTTCTTGTTATTCTGTCTTCTAATTAAAACAAAAAGATGCACAAACTTGAACAGAGGGTGAAGTGCACTTTGACTGTGGGTGAGGTGGCAGTGTGGAAAACAGGCTCCTCACTTTGATACAGCAGCAGGACCGTTCTTAATCTTCAGTGCTAATAGATGGCATAGGTACCAGTAAGCACTTAGCTGTAGAGAAAGTCCGCAATGCTGGCCTATGTTACTGACTTTTAGAATTGTTTTTTAGTATTTAAATGATTTGAAGGAGTCTGGGTTGAAAAGTGGAAGTCAGACTCATGTTTGAGTTGGTCCTGTGTCCAACAGACAGCACAGATGAGGACAAGGGGCTGGTGGCGAGGGGCTCTGATGAGGGAAAGATCCTCTGTGGTTGAGAGGCGCGGGTCAGGTGTTCTGCTGTCTTTCTTTGATTCTCTCTATCACACTTCACTAGTTTCAGTATGAATGAGCTGATTGTTTGGGATGAAGGAGATTGCCACAGTAGCTTGTGACTTGAAGGAAAGATTTATTCGTGTTAGAGTCAGGCTTTGTAAATAGGCCTACTTCTGGTTGACATTTGGTTTTATAGCTGTGTTCATTATGAAATACAGTCCAGTGCCCGCCTAGGTTCAAACCTGGTGTAACAGTAATGCCCTCAGAGTCCATCCTGGCTTACAGCTTTTGTTATAGTCCAAGAGGATGAATATCAAACTTCTCAATAATGTCTACTAAACACCATTTTTTTTTCTTCAGAGGAAAAAAGGAACTGTATTGCGCATAGGAGAAAGATCTATACACTATGACTCCCTTTCCTTAAAGAAAAAAGACAAACGGAAATGACATGGAGAGGTTGGGAAGTTCTAGTCATTTGAGTGACCCATTAGATGGAAGCGTTCTTGTTTAGCCCTGGTTTGAGTGAACTAAATTTAGGTGTCTGAACGCTACTTTGGAAAGGGTGTAAAGGCCTTTGTAATCGTCTGCACTGGTACTGAGTTAACTGGCAGCTCAAGTAGGAAAAGTGGGAGGGAAGAACTTTTTGTTATCGTCATTTGGCATTACCAGCTTATTTGTAGGTGTACTTGGGACTTCTGGAGGTCACCAAGCCGTGTCAGATGGTTCTAAAAAGCCAGCTGGAGGTAATGGTAAAATGGATAAAAGCAAATGGGTTTTGGCCGCCAGTTAGCTACCTGCTGTCAGGATCCATTTTAGTATGATTAGCTCCCCAAACCTCAAGGACATGCCTGGCATTGAATAATGTAATTAATTGAATGTATGCTGAATTTCATGATAGAAATGAATAAGAAATTTCCCATGGAGATTCCTAGATGATGGACCATGGAAATAGCTGTCTTTCTTTTCTCTCTTTTTTTCCCTTTCTTTTCCCTTGTTTCCTGATATTTATTTATTTATTTATATTAGTTACACATGACAGTACAATGATCTTGACATATCATACATTTGAATCAGATGGGGTATCATTTCTCATTTTTCTGAGTGCACAGGTTGCAGAACCACACGGGTCACGCAGTCACGTGTGCACATACAGCCATAATCATGTCCATTTTATTCTGCTGCCCTTCCTATCCCCCTTCCTCTCCCCTCCCGTTCCTGATTTTTTTGGTTGCAGAATCCTTTGGCAGTTTTTGTTCTGTGCTGTGCTTTTAACCACTGATACTTTTTCTTGTGCCTCCCTGAGCTCAATTTGGCCTTCGTCCCTGCAGTGTTTATGTTAATTTGTTCCCAGTAACAGCTAATACTGGCAGATAGGCTGGGCACGTTCCTTGATGCTGCCATGCTCAGGGAACTTGGGATTCTGCCTGGGTCATTGTTCTCAGATGGTGAAACTTGGCACCCCTGTGCACATTTTGAGTATCTAGGAGTGTTGGGGACTTTAACACTAGCCTGTGATTCCCTCTCCACCTTTCATTGGTTGGTCACCACATCCACCCCAGGGGTATAGGCTCTCAAATTTTGCATGAGACCGCAGTTGTTTGTAGCGTCACACTGCAGAAATGACCATTAATCTGGTCCCTCAACACTCTCTGCCTCCCCCTTCTCACTGTGCATGTTCTTCTCATTATCACTAGAGTCTCCTTTTAAACACAGAGCTGAGCCTGAGCAGGCCACTCCTCTGTGCAACTGTGAATGCTTTCCTAATGCCTGCTGAGGTCCACACTCCTGAGCAGGGCAGCCGGATCGCAGTCCTTCCCTGACTACATCTCCCCCTTGCAAGGGCTTCTGTTCAGTCCCACGGGCAGGTGCATCCTTCTCCAGACCCAGCCTCATCTTTCACTCCTCTGTGCCCCACCCCCAGCGCTGGTCGAGGATGCTGTCCCACAGGCACCTCAGCTCGTGTCCTCGCACAGGAATCGTGTTCTGCCCTCTGCGCGTTCCACAC